ATATATATATATATATATATATATATATATAAAAGAGAAATTTTTTAAATAAACGTGAATAATATATATATATATATATATATATATATATATAGAGAGAGAGAGAGAGAGAGAGAGAATTCTGAGAGGGACATTTATGTCTGCTTATTTATCATTTGTTCTAACTATATGTATATGTATAACTATAACTACCTACATGTCTAACTACCTCTCTCAATGTCAGTCAACATCTATGTATCTACCTCCATCTGTTCATATCTATCTACATCTATATATCTATTAATACAATTATCTATGTCTACTTCAGATCTATGTTCTATTTCAGTATCTTTATGTAACACTTCCTATTTATACACCTACCAGTCTGTTCATATCTATCTATCTATCTATCTATCTATCTATCTATCTATCAGTTTGTTCATATCTGTCTGTCTGTCTATCTATCTATCTATCTATCTATCTATCTATCTATCTATCTCTCTATCTATCTATCTATCTATCTATCAGTTTGTTCATTATCTATCTATCTATCTATCTATCTATCTATCTATCTATCTATCTATCTATCTATTTACCAGTCTGTTCGTGTCTATCTATCTATCTATCTATCTATCTATCTATCTATCTATCTATCTATCTCAGTCTATTTAAATCTTTTTATGTCAATCTATTTATACCTATCGATATCGATCTATAATGTTATTGATTTGCTTAGAGATAATTGCACGCACTGACGACATCGTGTCTATTGATCTTTGATCCGATTATTGAATTTACAATCATTTCACTTGTTACTACAAATATTTCAAATGCTGATTTTCAAGGCAGACATATCCCAAGTGGTAAATAATATACGATAATCCTTCCACAATAAATCCACCACAGTCTTCCGCAGTTGTATATCACATCTGGTAATCAGCAAGGGGCTTTCAACAGAACCGCTTATCTCGTCCGCCATATTTGTTTATTTGCAAATAACCGTCATGGCTTCCGTCAGAATGATTCACCGGTCCGAGCAACACTTGAACTTTCATCACATAAACAATGAATTATTGCCATTTGCGGCAGAGAATTACTCTAGCTTGGCCGGTGACGAAAGTTGTCGAGAAGAAGAAAACAAGTAGAAAAAAAAAATGAAATTGTGAACAAAGGAAGGTCAGCGATACGCTGGTCGAAACGTAGTGATCGTCACGGAGAAGAGGAAAATATGTCCAAAGAAATCCTATAAGTCATCTTCATATATCTGCGCACAATTATTGTTTTGGCGATCATCTCGAAAGGGCGCCTGCTGTAGCACAATAGTTAGCAACCTTTTCTATAAGATTATTATTGCAGAAAATGTCATTACACTCGGCTTATATCGCCTTGTGCACCGAATTATAATCGATTGTCTCTACTGAAATCCTTTTCACACTAGTTGCCGGAAGGTAGGCACAAAGTGCCGTCCATCCGCCTTAGGGGCTCCACTCCAGGTGTGAATTCAGAGTTGTCCTTCTCCTAGACCAGTTGCCATCCAAGGCTATAGAACCCAGTCTGCTCTGCTATTTATCCATCGCGGTGCGGGGGAGAAGAAGAGGATTCCTACCTTTCCCAAGGGTATTAGCACGTAAGTGAATGTAATGGATTCGGCTGGAATTCGAACTCGGCTCTCCAATCCCTCAATCCAAGCCGCTATCCATTACTCCACCGTGCCTCCTCAAAAACAATAATATATGACACAATCCCCGCATTTTTCTCCAAATATCCATAAATCTATCTTTCGGATCTTATATGGCATAAATCTGTCTCCCAGATCTAATATGCAAAGTTCAGATATCTGACAGATTAATGTCTACTCAGATGTCGTAAAATACAATTGTGTCAAGTTTAACTCTATAATACCCTCAAATCCGAAAATATAAATTTATTTTTTATCTCCGATTATTTGTATTTCTTCGACACCCACAGAACCCACATGTGGTTTATACTGCAACTATACTGAGCAGACCTTAGTCAGAATTTCTGGGAGAATAACTGAATTTACATTTCAGCATTATCTGGAGTGATCAATATTAGACTCAAACCCTTCGGTCACCGTCCGTGATAGCACAAGCATCGTCAGATCCCATATAGTTCCGTCTACTTAATACCACTGATGCCGCAGTAACCCGAGGGGTATGGTTTTCAGTCAGTTTCCAAAGGAGCCGCACGCTAGAATCGCCTCCCTAGGTGGGTAAAATCAAAAAGTTTTCTTCCTGACAAATCGACCATGGTGAGATTCGAACCCAGGTCTCGTAGTCGGAAAGCGAACAATCTAACCACTCGAATGTTTCCTATTATTTTGTTGCCATAAATAAATGAGTGTTTTTTTATTTATTTGTTTTTATTTATTTATCTGTTTGTTTGTTTATTTAAAAAGAAACATCAATAATTTAGGGTATAATTCTTAAGTCAAATTTAGCGTCAATTCTTGGGGAACCAAAACAGATCACCCTTTGCCAAGAACAGCCAGCCTTATATATCTTTTTAGTTTCGTTCTAAATTTGTCAAGTTGTCAAATTCTTGCATCTTTGCCCGAAGAAAACACTTATGCTGTCAAAAATTTGAAATAAGTAAAAAAAAAAATAACAATACTAAACGTAGTGCTTCTTCAGTCCTCATGAGAACAAAATTTTAATAAACACTAGGAAATAATATTTTATGGCTATTTGCTTCTTCCTCTTCATCTTTACGGTTAAGAGCTTGTTTGTTTGTTTTTCTTTTTGTTTTTGGGGTTTTTGGGGTGTTTTTTTTTTCTTCTTTTGGTTGGGGAAATTAAGAAAACCATGGTTTCAATAATAGAATCATGTTCGAAAATAAAATGCAAACTAATCTACGTTTTTCTTACCGTTTTAGGCTTTCTTACTTTCATATTATGAACGTTATCTTTTGACGAAAGCATCGAGAAACGACTATTAGACTAAATTCAGAGAACATTATTACTACTGAAGTGAATTTGTTCATTAAGTGTTCTGTACCCATGGCTTCGTGCCGTTTGGAATTTTGCTTAATAAATATCAGTATTATGCCAGAGGTTTTCTTTTGCCTACTGCTGGGTAATACCTTTCGACAGGTTTATTTGTTTATCGGTATATTTTATAGATATTTCTCACGTGGAAGGAAGAAACCAAACATTTCGACAATGGAGTTTAATAGTTTTAGTGTTTCTTTACACTTACTAGTAGTAGATATAATAGTGTTAAGTTGTCCGAATTTCTTAGATGACTCATTTTCATTATTATTAATTGTCGTCGAATTTTCTTCATATTTCTGGCAACTAATGGCAACATAAAAGTTATTTTAACTACACGCCACTTAACTGCCAGTCTTGAGCATTGTAATTATAAGTATTAGAAATAGAATAACAAATTTGTGAAATATTAATAATAACGATATTTGGACAACTAAAACTATTTACGCCTATCGTAACAAATAAAAGGATGGGAAAAAAACTAGCTAATCATAAATGAATAATAATGGAAACGCTTCATTTCAGAAATTCGCAGAAATTCGGACACTATTAATGGGCATAATCAAAAATTCGGACACTATTAATAGGCATAATCAGAAAATTTATATATAGATCGGATAAGGAAGAAAGTATGTATATAAATGAATCTGAATAAAGTCTGTTCCGATAATTCATTGGTAAGGCGTTATATATATATATATATATATATATATATGGACATTGAAGTCAACACTCAGTCGCGACGCTCAGTTTCAAGAATAAAAACTCAATTGTCATTGCATGAAACAGACTGTCACCTCTGGCTGTTGACTTCAATGTTCAACTTTATAGTTACATACGCTCTATTCCTGATATTGACCATTTTAGCCCATAAATATAGCATAACATAAAACTATATTTCATCATATATATATATATATATATATATATATATATATATATATATATATATATATATATATATATAATGGTATAAGGTTTCTTTAATATTCTAGTACTTTCAACTGTACATTCAATCATCCTCAGCGTTGTGACTGCACGCTCCAAAATTTTGTATCCGTTAACAATAACACATTTCAAAGAAACCATATTTCGATTCGCATTTAATTTTTCGTCTCGGATGCTACCGAATTTTACCAATAACAAAATAATTTCCATACCTGAGGATGACTGAATGTACAGTTGAAAGTACTCGCATTTTAAAGAAAGACCTTATAGTTTATAATTTTTAAAAACAAGGATCATAACATTCATCGAGTGATTCGTAAGTTAATATATATATATATATATATATATATATATATATATATATATATATATATTAGGAATCGACAAGATCTGTGTGTTTGATTTTTTATTATATTTTTCCAATTTTCGGATAATGTGTTCAGAGTCTTGTGCTCGAAATTGTGGATAAACTGTCTTAAGTTCGTATTTTCTTATTTTTGTTCAAAGTACTAAACGACTTTCACTGTCATTCTCAAGAACCGATCTGATGTCTGTGCGGTAGTTAGAATTCCTTCGTCTTCATCCCGGTATTCTTTGAGAATCTGGACGTTTTAAATGGCTTAGCGTGACGTTATGTGTAACGGCAAATTCTAGAAGCTCTTATAGAAAATAAAACAGATACATTAAATAAAATATCATTCATCACAGAAGAGATCTTGAAGCCAATATGATAGAATTAATATGCGCAAATTTTTATCAGCATTATAATAATAAAAATGTATAAAAATAAAATAAAAATTAAGTTTAAATTGAATAAATCGGATTGCTTTTGTGAAGCCTCGCTTCAAATAATGTTTATGATGTTTGACAGATTCATTGCTTAAGAATATTCCTTAGACCGAATTCCCCCTGTTCGTAATTTCTGTGCATTTAGTTTCAATTAAATATATTAACATTGTTGCTAATATATCTGTGGACTGTGTTGTAATTGCTGAGTTTTGTAGGAAACTGTTTCATTTGGTTGTCCGTAATGTAATTTGGAAATGTTCAGGATAGGATATGATCAGACTGAGATAGATAGATAGATAGATAGATAGATAGATAGATAGATAGATAGATAGATAGATAGATATAAAGAAAGTGTTGTAGATAGATAGATAGATAGATAGATAGATAGATAGATAGATAGATAGATAGATATGAGAAGACTGAAATAGACACATAGATAGATAGATAGATAGATAGATAGATAGATAGATAGATAGAAACAGACTGATATATATATATGAAGATAGATAGATAGATAGATAGATAGATAGATAGAAGGATATGAGCAAACTGAGATAGACGCACAGATAGATAGATAAATAGATAGATATAAACAGACTGAGCTAGATACATATAAAGAAAGTAACATAGATAGATAGATAGATAGATAGATAGATAGATCTATAGATAGATAGATAGATAATTTATGTATGTATATGTACGTGAAAATCACTAACTCCATATGCTATTATTAATTAAGTTTTAAGCTGATATTTTCACGGTATAATTTTTGATCTATACTACTAATATTTATTATCGATTTAATTAAAATGATTGCGTATGAGATTATGTTGAAAGTAAATATTTGTTGCGTAAAATCAACATTTTTTGGCACTATCAGATTGCGAACATTGCTGAGCGTATATATATATATATATATATATATATATATATATATATATATATATATATATATATATCTTAGATATGTATTATAATAATATATATATATATATACGTGTGTGGGATGTCTGTATGTATCTGAGCGTATGTGCGTGTCAGTTAAGCTCAACTTTGAAAAAAAATGAGAGAAAATTCGGAGATAGGGAGATGAACTCTGAGAAAGAATCAGTTTCTCGCCTCCCTAATTGGAAAGAGAGAAGCCGGTGCGGACAGAGTCTAGGAGAATCGACAGTGGAGGCAAAGTAAGGCAAGCGCTGACCCAAAGGCGTAATTTTGTTTGTTTTGAGCAATCTAATACATGATGATCTGCGAACGGAACTGGCAGGAAGTTAGAGGGAAGGGCTTCCGTATGCGGGGAAACTTCGTATCATGTTTGTTTTCCGTTGTATTTAGAGATCGGTTTATTAACAGGGCCGATGCGAGCGAAAAGGGAAAAGAGACGAGAAGCAGTTGGTAAGGAAGGACGCTTCTTCTGTCAGTGACGGATGGAAAAAAAGGAGCCTTAACATAAGAGAAAAAGGAGGTTTAATGGAAGATTAAAGTATGGGAGATAGAAAAGGAAAGGAAAGATAGATAGATAGATAGATAGATAGATAGATAGATAGATAGAAACTGAGATAGATAGATAGATAGATAGATAGATAGATAGAAACAAACTGAGATAGATAGATAGATAGATAGATAGATAGATAGATAGATACGCAAGCACGAATTGATTAAGAATTAAATATGACCACACACACACACACACACACACACACACACACACACACACACACACACACACACACACACACACACATACATGTAGAGAAGGATTGTCTACGGATGTCTCGTACAGAAATTAAGTATAACCGGCAGATGAAAGTAATCTGAAAACGACATAATAATTATTATGATTTTTTTTTATTCTTATTATTATTCCAGTAAACAAAATAAAAAACATGATGAGAAACGTCTTGCAAATCGGAATTTCTGAATATAGCACCATGTAGATATTGGATATTTTATAAGTACATTAATGTACCGTCTTTTCTTTGAATAGGAAAATTGTTTCTCCAGTTTTCAAATATTGCTTATTGAATTATTGTTCCTTTTATCTGAATTCTAACTCCGAAGACCGTTCCATTCGGGAGAGTAGCAACTACCTCAGCCACTTGTCATGCTAAAAATGATAAGAAGTAATATTAATATACATTCTTAAAATGTTTAAAGAAAAAGCAATGACATTCAGGAAATTATAGTGTCGTAAAGAAAATGAGGAAAACAGAGACACAGCGAAGAAGGAAAATAAATTGAATAAAAGAAAGAAAAAAGAAAAAAATGACGGAAAATAAATAGAATAAAAGAAAGAAAAAAGAAAAAAAGAAAGAGTGAAAATAAATTGAATAATAGAAAGAAAAAAGAATAAAAAAGAAGGAAAATAAATTGAATAAAAAGAAAAAAGAAAGAAGGAAAATAAATTGAATAAAAGAAAGAAAGAAAAATGGAATGGAAGAAAAGAACAGAAGAAAAAAGGTAAAACGTTTAAAAAGAAAAAAGAAAAAAGTAAATAAACTAAAAGGAAAGATGAAAGTGAGATGTGAGGAAAAGAAGGAAGCAAACTAAGGGAGGAGGTGTAATGAGAGACGCGTAGTAATCAAGAGAAAGTCAATAAAGAAAGCAATGACTGCAAAGAACCGATCGCTTAATGAATGAAAGAAAATTCAAGCAGAAACAAAACGAAAAGACTCAAGAAGATGAATGAATGGGTAATTAATCTTCTTCACACATCAAACTTCTCCCCGACCACCACATAACCAAACTTATGGCTATTCCACTCCAAGCCACCACCACCCCCCGACGCACACGTACCCTTTAAACTTTCTACGGCTATTTATTATCTGAGGTATCCGGATAAGTTGCGGCGAGATAACATGTGATTTTCCCAAAGAAGTTCATTTGAATTCACCAAAGTCACCCGGTAGAACCTGAGACGTGCTTTCTTTCCTCTGACTGCGATCAAACCACCCCCCGCTCTACCTACTCATCTACTTAAGTTCCTCTAAACATCGACTTGATATTGTGCGTCCACCTGACCACCATCTGCAAGACATTCTCCTTTCTCGATACATGTTGGAGTGGTCGCCCGAAGAACGTTGATTAGCCGATCTCGCCTCACTGCCGACATACTGGTGGAGTGAACTCGTTCCATAGTGAACTTTTTTTTCTGCAAGAGCCACAATTGTAAACTTAATCACATTGAGTTGACGATGTAATGCTACAGATTTCGGGTAATAACCCTGATAAATTTGCTTAATAATAATAATAATTCTGGCTGATATTGTTCTAGTTCCGTATGCAGGCGGTTTGCTGTCGTTATAGGGTCTTGGTTATTCTAATATCCTTCCCAAATATATAAAGGTTGCTGAGCAGTGACAATAGATCTTTGTAGCGTACTTTATTAAACACCTTTGCGTAATCTATAAAACACAGGTAAATGTCCTTCTGCATTTGTATTGGTCTTTTTGAAAAAGAAATCTTACACTTAAAATCAAGAAGAGACAGTTGAAATTTCTGTGGCACATAAGGAGAGCTTGGAAAATCTCTAACTCACAGGACGGAACAGAGGAAAACAACGCATTAAATATTTGACGAGCTTAAGAAAATGGATGGTGGAACAGCGTTTAGAATTAAAGAAAAGACTTTATTTTGAGCTGCAAGAAACATGGAAGGGGATCGACACATAAAGAAGAATTATTCTGGTTATTATTTGGCGTTAGCATCTATATCTTTGAACCTAAAGACCTACATTAAGAAAATCGAACTAAATCTTAGTATCCCATCATTTCAGAAGTTTCGTTTCGTTTCGTTTGTTTTACGGCATATCAATCTCACTGGGTCATTTAATGCCAACAAGATCTCTATGGACTCTATTGCAGGTAATATTTGTTTCCCAAAAATGTATTGTTGGTAATTTTTTTTTTTTTCAAAAACATATTGCCTGCAACATTTTTTTTCTAAAAATGTATTGCTGGTAATAATTTTTTTTCTTCTAAAAATGTATAGCTGGTAAAATAAATATATATATATATATATATATATATATATATATATATATATATATATTTTTTCAAAAATATATTGCTGGTAATATTTTTTTTTCAAAAATGTACTGTTGTTAATAATTTTTCCAAAAAAGCTTTGCTGGTATTAAAACCTATTTTTATACTTTCATAGTGTTTTGACCACCTATTTGCCCATAGCTGGAACCCTGGCTGGTGCTACCATCCCAGGTCAGGGTAGACCTGGGAATACCAGCAATTAAGAATTGGTTCCACGCTCCTCAAAACCTCCTGATCAGAGGACATGTTGTTGGATGTAGTTTATCGTCTTACCCAGGACGCGGATGTAGTTTTATGGTAATATTTATTTCTTCAAAAAAAAAAATATTACCAGCTATACAATTTTCAGGAGAAAAATATTACCAGAAATAGATTTTTGACAAAACAAAAATATTATCAGGAAAAAAAAGTTGTTGACATTAAATGACCCATTGAGGTTGATATGCCGTAAACAAAAAAAAACCCTGAGTTTGCAGATTTTTCCCTCACTGTCCACTTCTGACATACCAACTCCACACTTCAATATCTTTTCCTCCACTTGAGATTCTCCTCTCTGAATAAAACGGTAGCATCTAATATAAAGCATCTTTATCCCGCTCACTGTTCTAGTTCCATGTGCCATGTCTAACGGAAGTCAGTTACCTCCTGTTAATTCCCCTCTCCAAGTTCTCCACCACCTTAACCAGGTATTGAACTTACACTCTTTGTGTCCTGTCACTGAATCAAACTAACGCCTTTATCCACTGGACATCAGTGTATGAATTTCTAGGTATTATAAAGCTAATGTCTTCAGCAACCACCTGAAGAAGGACGGAGTGTACAACGGCCGAAACGTTGTGATAAATATGGCGACAATTATGAGGACAATAGTCCGAATAATGTAAATAGTGTACATGATACCTCATCTCAGAAATATAGACAGGTATAAAACTATGTCTAACGTCAAACTTCGCCTGAAATCTCAGACTCTTGTAATTTAAGAATAGTCTGATTGTAAATTTCAAGAATTTGCGATTCGTATCAATTAAATAATCAGTTAAAGATGTGAAGAGATTACTTTTTTTTTGATGGTTGCATTTTCGTTATCCAGCCGTCATTGTTAGTTGTCCAATCCTTTTTCTTTCTGACGTGTTTCTTTATAAATACGTCATGGAAGAATCATTAACCTTGAAATATGTCACTAGCCAATGTTAAGTATGGCACGAGAGAAACCCCCGAACCAAGACTTAAAGAGCTTCAACCACGTAAAAAGAGTCTATTATTTAAATGGGGGCCCCACCCTTTCACCACGGCGTTGTCATGACTTTTTTTTTTTTTTCACAATCGTTTCATGGCGGAATGCAGACAAATTCCTAGAGAAACTGCGTTTTTTTTTCTTTCTTTCCTAATTATATTTTCTTACCTTTTTTTATTATTATTCCCGTATTTTATGGCCATTTCTTTTCTTTTTTTTCTTTTTTTATTCGTAAGAAAGAAAGACATCGGTTGGTTCCCGAATTCTGTTGCTCTCTGGAATCATGCGAAAGCGTTTTATTTTGTTAGTAATGGATGGTAACAAGAAATGGCAGCGAAAATATTCTGGCAATTATGGGCCGGCCTGAAGTTCTAATGCCATTCATACCAAGAATCGCAGCCCAAATTTGTGATGCGATAGCATTATAAAGAGATAGAGAGCATAGCGGATGAGACTACTGCGAGTTTTCTTCGTTACCAATGCTCTATTTGGAAGTGATAAAATAAAAACATCCCTTATACAAACGGATTCACACAACTTCATGCAACAAAGTTTCAGATAAGCATACATACGATGTGGTGTAATTGTTAGCAATCTTTTCTCGCGAGATCAATTACGGCTGAATAGTGAGTTCGGCCCTCACTGGGTGCCCCATCTAGGCTACTCAGAAAATCAGCATAGAAAAGAAAAGAGATTTCTAAAGGAGTGAAGACAACCTGAGACACACACGAACGGTTTGAAGTTATGAAATAAGAAACTATTGTTATTATTATTAAAGAAAATGTCGTAAATCTTTAACAATGTTTCGACATCATGTGTGTCTTCTTCAAGTTATTTTTAAAAGATATCAGTCAGTTATTTGCCATGCGTGATACATGACTGACGGGGCAGATTTTTCCCGCAGTAGGTTGCCATTTCTTTCTGCGGTAGACCAATTGCCATCTAAGGCTATAGAATCCAGTCTGTTCTGCTATTTACCCATAGCTGGTGGGGGGATAAGAAGAGGATTCATACCTTTCCCAAGGGTATTACCACGTAAGCGCCCTACGAGGCTGGAATCCCGCTCTCACCCTTTCACTGTCGAAACTACTAAATGTAGCCGTCTCTTCTACTCCAATAGCTTCATGTCTCGCACCTCTCGCCTGTGGAACTCTCTTCCCTATTCCAGTTTCCCTGAGAGCTATAATCTCCAACTATTCAAATGTAATGTCAATCGACATCTCCAGTTGCCTTGATCTATCCACTATATTCTCCTCATTCTTTTCCTCTATCACTCCTATCTGATCTTGCTCCAAATCTTCTGTAACCCCTTGCGTCCTAGTGACTTCACGCCTTGCTTGGGGTGAAAGGCTTAAAAAGAAAGTGAATGTAATGGATTCGACTGGAATTCGAACTCGGCTCTCCAATTGCTCAATTCATTAGTACAAGAATAAAAATATAAACAAATTAAAATATTTGTACAAATGTCACTTAACTTGAGAAAAACAATTGTAGTGGTAATCAATGTAACAAAGTGATTAAAATATTATTATTATTATTATTATACTAATTTATTCGAACTGTTGTCCTCATCTCGATTGTTTTCGTTATAATGGGTAGCCCATACTTCGGCCTTGTGCCACAACTAAGCTGCGCTTAGAAAATCACTATACCAGATCGTATTGAGATGTTATTTGTAAAACCTTATTTCATAAAATCTTACCAAATGACCAAACATTAGATTTCTCTTCGGAAACTATCTTTATTTATCGTGTCAAGAAATTTGCAGCACCCAAATTTTCAATACATAATAAATATATTTACATAGGCAGAAATGTACCAGTATCAGTAATTTGATTTGAAAACATATATATATATATATATATATATATATATATATATATATATATATATATATATATATTTATGTTTCGTTAAAGATGACTGACAAGGTACTGTGATTAAGCTTTTTATTTCATTTTTCCTGTGTTCGTACAAGTCTTTTCTTTTCTGGACACAATTGTGTAAAAGAAAAAAAAGAAAAAACTCTAAAAGTTTTACATATCCGAACACTTTTGGCTATTACGAAAACTTGTATAAAATAGAGATTGCTAACCAGGTCAGGGGAACATTTCTTAAAGATTTCTACTGATATAAGTCCATATGCTTTTTCCTTATCAAGTCCATATACTTTTTGTGAATCCAGTTTAGAGATGAGAGCTTGAACCATGGACAGACTTATATGCGTATCACTTTTATAAGTGGAAAGCCAGGCAAAGGTGTTCCTTATATATATATATATATATATATATATATATATATATATATACAATTCCTTTTATTGTACATTTTTCTGTGTTAATTTTAAATCTCCCGTTGAAGCCTGACGAGCGGGAGCGAAACCAATTGCTTCGCCCGTTTTTTTTAATATGTCTCGTAATATTAAGTTTTATACTTTTATTTCTATCATTAAATTTTGTACCTACAAAAATATCTTAATATATATATATATATATATATATATATATATATATATATATATATATATATATATATATATATATATATATATATATATATATATATATATATATATATATATATATGAGGAAGGTCGTTGTAAATTAGTAACTATGATGGTCCAGGGTCGAGTCCTGAGGAACACCTGCATTAATGCAAAATGATCTGGAAGAGTAGCCATTCAAGACTTTTATTTCGCGATTTTACAAGAAGGACTGGATGAGTTCAAAGATTCGTTCAGAAATGCCATAACCTTTTAACTTGTGAAGAGGAACGAAATGCCAAACCCTGTCAAAGGCTTTCGAGATATCCAAAGCAACAGCCCGAGCTTCACCATTCTTATCTAAAGCTTGATAGACTCTTTCACCAATAATTGTTAATACATAAGCAGTTGACCAATATTAGCCATATTGCTTATATGCGAGGTGAGATGCTTAGCCAATTCAGAGTTAATTAGAGCCTCTGGTACTTTGCCAAAAAGAGATAGAAGGCTGATAGCTAGAAGGATCAGATGGTTCTTTAAGACTACATAAAAAGACTCCCAACAAGCAAGAAAGCAAGAAGCAGCAAGGCGTTTATTGTAAAATTTAGAAAGAACAGGAGCCAGCTCAGGAGCACATTTCTTAAAGATTTCTTCAGGGATAAGTAAATATGCTTTGTCCATATCAAGTCCTTATTCTTTGTGGGGATCCAGTTTAGAATTGGCAGCAGAAACCATAGTCAGACGTATATGCATATCACTCAACAGAAACCCTTTTATAATTAGAAAGTCAGGAAAAGATGTTCCAGATGAATCAAGAGTAGAATTTGAAGAGAATTTACGAGCCAGACAATTTGCTATATCAGCAAATGTTAACGCCTTAAATAGAGACAAGAGAGGAGGGATAGAAGACTTACTCTTATTTAAGACACTGTTACAGAGTCGCCAGTAGTCACGAGAAGCAAAGTTGTTAGAGGCTATAGAGTGCTTCATTCTATCAACAAATAAAGAATTAGCTACTTTGACAACACGTTTACAATTATTACGAACAGACACAAAGAGGGATCTGTTGTGTTCGGAACTATCCCGCTGGTACAGCCGGAAAAAGGGATTCCTGTGGGGCCTATAACAGCTGATGAGGCCGGTGTGAACGAAGGAAATGAGTGTGGTTTCACCTGGTATTTCTGATAAGGTATAAATGCATAGACGTCGGGGATTTTTCTCCCAAGAAGAAACCTCGATGACACAATTCTCAATAGAAAGGTTAAGAATATCAATCCACGGGGTGTCTCGAAGTCACGAAAAGAATTACGCTGCTAACAGAAAGACGTTTTGTGAATGAGAGATTCGACGACGCAAAATAAATATTAACAGATACTACAGCGTGATACGGATTGCAATGAGGATGATGTAGTGATAATCGACAAGAGTTTATAAAGAAGAATGTTGAAACAGATTTATTAGGGAAACGATTTGATTGACAGACTGAATGCCGGCAACTTCAGTAACATTAATATTAGAATGATAACTATCGACTGATATAAACGATTTTATAAACTAATACTGGACACTTGCTGTTAATAATTCTACTACTACTGCTAATACTAGAGCTAATAAAAATTTCAGCCCCTAATTTAGGAGGTTTTCTGATTGTTTTCGTCAAGAGGTACACTAAAAGTGGTAACTACTAAAATGTTATATATATATATATATATATATATATATATATATATATATATATATATATATATATATATAAGGCTCAATTCTTTTTGAATTTGTAGTTCTAATAGATTGGATCGTGATTACGTTTCCAATGTAATAAATTATAACCATGGATTAGTGTTAGAGCATTTTATATTATATTCTCTCTCTGTCCTGGATTCTATCCTCGTGGGAATATATATATATATATATATATATATATATATATATATATATATATATCACTCAGTTATGTACCATACGTGATACTTAATTAGGCGATCATGTATCTTTCGATATATGACTGACGAGGCAGATTTTTCCTGCAGTAGGTTACCATTTCTTTCTGTAAAATATCAGTTGCTTTCCAAGGCTAGAACCAGGTCAGCCCTGCTATTTGCCCATAACTGGGGTTGAGAAAGAAGAGGATTCATACCTTTCCCAAGTGTATTAGCACGTAAGTGAATGTAATGGATTGGACTGAAATTCGAACTCGACAAAAATAAACAATTCTTCTTCTTCTTCTTCTTCTTCTTCTTCTTCTTCTTCTTCTTCTTCTTCTTCTTTATGCAATGTTCCTTCGAGATGTGCATGATCACTACCCTCGACCATCCTTTGTAACTTTAAGCAATGTGCCCCATTTATTATCACTCCTCGCCCCTGTTCTTCTATCCATTCACTCCAGCTCCTAAGTAGCTTACTTGCTGCTTCCCTCTGTCCCTCTTGCTTTACAGTATGTCTTGCGAGTGTCAAATTCTCCCAGCCCATTTTTCGCATTATGTCTCCCAGAAATTTCAACTATTTCTTTCTTTTTCTAAAAAAAAGCACTACCTATCTCTATGGCGAGTATGGGGGCACACAGTGAGGAGCGAACTCACTATTCAATCGTAATTGATCGAACGAGACAAGCTTGTTAAACATTACACCACGTCGACGTGCCCATAATGATTTTCTAAGCGTAGCTTAGACGTGGCACAAGGCCAAACGTGTGGAGCACTCAGTGAGCATCGAATTTACTACTCAGTCGTAATTGATCTAGAAAGACAAGCTTGCTAAACATAACAGCACGTCGAAGTGCTTCTCTCTCTCTCTCTCTCTCTCTCTTAGATAGATAGATAGATAGATAGATAGATAGATAGATAGATAGATATGTTTGCGTGTTTGTGTATTATAATCTGATTGTGTATTATAATCTGATTGTTGCAAGATTTCATCCTCCCTTGCCTATGTCTTCACTTCAAATGTATCTAAGTTGTAACGGAGTTCAGAACAGCATTAGATCTTAACGTTTATTCCAACTTAATTTCAATAAAAACAAAATAAATAGAAAAACATATGTATTTTTTCCTCAGTTTCTTCCTTAAATAATTTTATAATTTTAAACTTAATATAGATTAAATTTAAAATTTGAAATTGATAATTTTTAATTTTTAATTTTATAGTATAGTTTAATATTCATTAGTTAGAATAAATTCTATTTTAGTCTAACCCTAACATTAAAGCATTAAATAAATATTATAACCAAGGTTCGTTGTCAAGTTTTTTGAATTCTCATATACTTGTATTTTGATTGGTCATTCCAGCTTATGTAACAGCGTTTCCCCTTGCGAGGGATATTTGATTGATTTGAACCTTTTAAAACCCTTTATTCTACATTCAACAACATCACTTGATAAGACATCAGAAGTGTTGAAACAAAATGGCTATTTTTGTAGTGATTTTATAACATATTTATATTATAATTTTGGAATAAATAATTATACACACACACACACACACACACATATATATATATATATATATATATATATATATATATATATATATATGCAAGTTCCATTAAATAATATAGACAAGTGTTGTCTATTTTATGTAAATCTTTTCGTAACATCTGATAAATTTAATAACATTATCGTTGAACGAAGAAAGAAATTCACAATATTGATCCATATTTTTTTTAATACAATCTAAGCTTTCGTCTTACATAAGCCGTTATCAAATATGTCAATTACAACACAAAATAAATAGACAACACTTGTCTATATTATTTAATGAACCGTGCATGAATGAAAAGATGCTGCCTGAATGCAATGCATATATATATATATATATATATATATATATATATATATATATATATATATATATATATTTAAATTTTTGATAAGTAATCGGAGATCTTTATTAGTTGCCATTAATGCAAATAGTATATAAATTTGTAAAAGTATATGCATATAAATTTTTAAGGGTGTGTATGTTTCTAAAGCCCAATGCTGAGGTACAATATATGAATAAGTGTGTGTGTGTGTGTGTGTGTGTATATGTGTGTTCATATGTATCTTTCTGTATATTTGTGTTATTAGTAAGTGTATATTTATTTCTGTTTTGCATCTGTAGATATTTGAGACGAGATTGTATTTTGTGTATGAATGTGTATGTGTTAGAATTATTTTCTTTTCTGTTCTCGTATCCAAATAAACCAAGAGAAGATAACTGCTGCCAAAACAGACACATACACCGCTGCCAACAACGGAGACTTATCAAAGATCGGTGTAGAATATCAAGATGGTTAAATGGTAAACTCGCTGCCATTCGCAAAAAGATCCCTTTGGGAACAGTCAGGCAATGCGATATAATGACAGCCTATCGATATTTGATGACGGAAAGGATCTTTTAAGAAGAAATAAAAAGTATAAAATGGTCTTTCTGCACAGTGAGGGGCCGAACAAGATCTTCAAACATATCAAACAAAATAATTGATGTTGAGCGTTGACGAGAGATATAACGTCCCCACCCTTCTTTATTTATTTAATTCCCCACTTATACCGCTGACTGGACTGAGAATTGACATAAAAGTTTTCCAAATTACTTATAAGCAGAGTTAGAAGACCTGCAAGAATTAATGAACGTCACGAATTGTCAAACGTTTTACGCCATCTTGTAATCGTTTTGAATTGCATGTAGCAATGGTTAATACGCTACTACTGTTGATCATTGTTGCTGCTTCATCCTCTCTAGGTGCTCCATGCTATTGGCTTTTTGCCAAATTTAGTATATACTAACAAATTTAGTAAATACTAGCAATATTAACATGGGCGGAGAAGAAGATGATTCATACCTTTCCCAAGTGTATTAGCAATGTAATAGATCCCAGTTGAATTCGAACTCGGCAAAAATAAACGCTTCTTCTTCTTCTTCTTCTTGCAGTGTTCCTTCGAGATGTGCATGATCACTACCCTAGACATAACATATATATATGTTGTAATATTATTAGTTAATAATATGTATTCCTCGCGACACAGAAATTAGTTTTGTTTCTGTGTGAATTCTGTCGCGATGAATACATATCTTTAAATAATAATAATAAATAAATAATAATAATATATATATATATATATATATATATATATATATATATATATATATATATATATATATATATATATATATATATATATATATGAATGATCTTTTGCTGATCAAGCAAGGATGAATAGTGACTAAGCGGTTCTTCCCGCTTAGGGAACGCAGATTCGAATCCTGCCGGAATATATATATATATACGGTATAATTAAATTTCCTTGCTTTTTCTTTCCTTTCTCCTTTCCTTCTTTTTTTATTTATTCCTTTTCTCTTTTTCATTCCTTCACAGCTTTCTTACTTTTTTCTTTTCTTTTTATTTCCTCACCTCTTTTTGATATATGCAGGCCTTAGTACAGTCCAAACCAAATAGAAAGAAATGTGAGAATATGTGTGACTTTGTTTCATCAATATTTCAACAAGAGAAAACATGCCGGCCTATAAAATCAACATTAACACTTTGATCCCCGACACACCGCTTTACTCAATGCCCAGCCACCGGTTTGATCGTGAAACATTACAGACCAATTATTTGCGAATTGTGACTCAGCAGCTCAAATAGATGGGTTAAAATTGTTCAAGAACGCAGGGCTCAAAGGGTTTTTTTTACCCGAACTCTAACAACAAATTTCTGGGTATGACGATAAACTTCACCTGTGTCCTAGGCATAAGGATAAACTACATCCGGCAGCAAGGCCTTTGATCAGAAGGTTTTGAGGTGCGTGGAGCCACCTCTTTATTGCTGGTGTTCCCAGGTCCACCCTGATCCGGGGTTGTAGCATCTGTTAGGGTCCCAACTATAGGAAAATAGTTAAATGAGTCACAGCACTATGAAAGTATAAAAATAGGTTTTAATACCAGTAATAATTGGGCACCTCGAGGCGGTGTAAGGGTTAGCAACGTTAGCTCGATAGAACAATTACGACTGAGTAGTGAGTTCGATCCTCACTGGGTACCCCTTAATTTCGACTTTGTGCGACATCTAAGCTACACTTGGAAAATCACTAATACCGGCAATAATTTTTTTTTGAAAAATTTTTAACAGCAATACATTTTTGAAAAGAAGAAAATTATCAGCAATACATTTTTGAAGAAAAAATATTACCAACAATATATTTTAACAAAAAATATTACCAGAAATAAAAATCTTTTCGGCATTTTATAAGACATTGAGATTGATACGCAAAACAAACCAAACCAAACTAAATTTGACAACAATTTCTGTTAGATTATTTACATTATTCGGACTATTGTCCTCCTCTTTGTCGCCATATTTATTCAACGTTTCGGCCGTTGTACTCTCCGGCCATCTTCAGGTGGTTGGAATGTCGAAGTGAACCCTTTATTTCGCTCACTGGGGTAGACTGTTCTAGTTCCACGTGCAATGTTTAATGGATGTCAGTTATCAGTTATCTCCTGTTAATTTCCCTCTGAAAGTTCTCCACTGCCTTAACCGGGTATTGAATACACACTCTTTGGGTCCTGTCACTGGATCTAACCAACGCCTTTATCCACTGTGCCATCTGTCCTTGGCGCGTGAAATTAGAACAGTCTACCCCAGTGAGCGAAATAAAGGTTTATGTTCGACATTCCAACCAACTGAAGAAGGCCGGAGCGTACAACGGCCGAAACGTTGTAATAAATATGGCGACAAAGATGATGACAATAGTCCGAATAATGTACATAATATCTCATCTCAGAAATATAGACAGATAACTTCTGTTACGATTGGAAAATACACTAACTCAGCCACGAGACGAACCAGGATTTTTTTGGGGGAGGGATTTTTTAATCCTTTTTTAATTCATAAATCTTCGTTTAAATCCAAGAAAAGAAGGAAAAACGGAGATACTGAAAAAAATTAGAGAGAAGAAAGACAATAAGAAAATTTTAATTAAGGAAAAATTAAGATATTATTTCTGTGTGTGTGTGTGTGTGTGTGTGTGTGTGTGTCGGTGTGTGTGTGTCGGTGTGTGTGTGCCTGTGTGTGTGTCTGTGTGTGTCTGTGTCTGTGTCTGTGTGTTTGTGTGTGTCTGTGTGTGAAAGTAGGGGTGGAAAGATGTACAGTTAAAAATCCGGGTTTGAGACGAGAAAGAGGCGAGAAATGTAGAAGGAATAAAATAGAAACGGAAGAATTTGGAGAGGTTTATAGGAAGGGAAAAGAAAAGAACGAACAGAAAGGGAAAGACAAGCAAACGACGAGGATAAGAAAAAAAAGGGGCAGACCGAAAACTTTGTAATGAGATAAAATGTTAGAAAGAAACTTTCTCGAGTCAAAATTGACAGAACGTAGAAACTATGAAAATCTCTTTTTTACCGGGTTAGTAGGGAGTAAGTTGTCTCTCATGAGAATCTGTGCAAAACCAGCTGGAATACGTGAAATAAAATAAAAAATCGCTCTATGTGCGAGCGAGTACGAGAGAAGGGTGATCAAGTGCCTGAATGAAGGCGAAGAAGCCTGTCATCAAATCGTTCTACTGAAGTAAAAAAGGCAGGGTCGGATAATTATTTGCCGAGAACACGGAAGTTCCTCAAACCACGCCCCACAGCTAACATAACCGAGTCGCTCCTAATGGTCCTGTCGACCTCTCTTCCCTGACAAGCCGGACACATATGAGACAGACTGTTTGCTAAGCTCACTACTCGTACAGTGGCTCCCTCTAAAGAGTTTAGAGTCGACAAATTTTTGTTTGCTTTTACTGCTTTTATTATTATAGCATTTTGGTCGATTTGTTCTTCGGCCTTCCACTGATTTTGAAAGTTTCTTAAATAGCCTTGTCGGATGTATACTTTCATATGGATGCTATGCACGGCGTCTAACCCGTTCAAAAATCTTAAATTATTAGCTATATACAACCGTTTTCTCAGATCAATGATTAAATACGAAAGGCATCAAGGGAATGATTCCTTTAAAGAAGGCAATCTTTTATCAGGCCCTATAAATTGGAGTTACATAATCACAAAAAAAATGAGGTTTACCAAATAACAAAAAAACACATCACGTGAAGACTTCCAACAGCAGCAACAACTAAAATGGATAATTAATAATAGAATCAAGATGCTGAATTTCCATAGTATTCATCGATTGATTAGTTTTTTTTACGGTTTATCAACGTCTTTCGAGTTATTTAAAGATAGAAAATGTTTTTAGATCCTAAGATTTTTTTTAGATAATAATGATTGGCTGATACAAGTTCTACGAATTAACCCATAGCTAGGGATGGATCAGAGGTGGATTCATACCTTTCCCAAGGGTAATAGTGATTGAATGAATCTGAAACAACTGAAACTCAGAAATCCGATTTTTCAATTCCGAGCCTTTATACATTTTACCAGCTGCAAATTCAAACTTACAGCACTTGGTATTCCCAAACGGTTACCCATCTAGGTACTGACCAGGCACGACATTGCTTAACTTTGTTGACTACAGGAGCTTCAAAGTGAAATGGCCATAAGCCAAAATACTGGGAAGAAACACTTATCACTTTTTATTTAATCTGTTTCATTACATGCAAGGCAGTAAAGCCACTAAGTCACAGGGGCGTGGAAGAATTAGGAACAGAAACATTAATAATGAGCGGGAAGAGGAAAGAGTAATCAGGAGGACAGTAGATAGTGATTGACATTGCATTTAAATTCTTGCAGACTAAAGTTGGCTGGAAAGCATGGAACCGGAAGGGATTTCCACACGCAAGAAGTGTCAGAAATGAAACTGTTAGCATAGAATTTACGGTTGCGTCTTGCCAGCTCAAGTGTAAATTGATGAGATCTTGATGCCAATCTAGCAGTTCACTTAAATTCAAAAAGTCTAGGTTTTGAAGAGTTCATTCAAACAATTACCATGAAAGTATTTATAGAAAAGACACAGAGAGGCAATCTTACGATGGTGGGAAAGTCACTGAATCCGAGCTACCAGGTCAGGACCAATAATATTGCTGATTCTTCTTTGGATCTTATCAACGAGTTCAAGGTAAATAGCAGGGGCACCAGACCGTGTGTTGCAGCAATATTCTAAGCATAGACGGATGGTAGAGTGATAACAGTGAACATGAAAAACCTATACCTCTTGTAAAACTGTTTTAAGAAAAACATGTAATAAATTCTAAGTCAAATTTCACGCAACAGTCAAACTAAATATTCGGTCAATGAATAGCGAATATTTCCTGTATGGAAACGGCTACTCTCACGAATACCATTCGTACGGTTTTTTTTTCTTGTTTTGGACAAGCAGTTGTTAACCTGTAATGTAGCATAACCCCAAGTGATGAGTATGTCAGTCAAGGGAGTAGGATCCAAGGAGATCGAAGGTACTTGGGTTAACAAGAACTACGATATCTTCCATGATGAATTTCAATTTCACATCAAGAAGATAATTAGAGAACTAATTGTAAAAAAAAGACATTACACACACACACACACACACACACACACACACACACACACATATATATATATATATATATAATATTTTTTGTTTAAAAATATGATGCCTTCGCTACATAAGAGTTCTCATGTTTCAAAAACGAGAGCCGAAATCATCCAAATAATTATTAAAATTAAGTTGAATTGAGGTGTTTAGTCTCGTTTCATCTTCAAGAAAGCAAACTAGCTAAGAGTTACTGAACACTGAAAACTCTACAAGTACTTGGTCTGTCAAAGAAAGAAGTATGAAAAGATAAAGAAAACGAAAAGAAAGACAAAAAAGAAAGGCAAAAGAAGCGAAAGAAGTACCAAACGAAAGACACCAACCTACAACAAATCAAAAGTGCTCAATGTCTCTAGAACTTAGACTAAGACAGAACAGTAATATTAACAGTACTCAGAAACTCCTATAGAAATCGTAACTAGGTTTTACGCTATGCGATCGTCAGACGACACGAGTCGAAGAGAAAACAGTTACTGAGTTGGCGTTTGTATACATTCGTATATAATACGTTAGAATTTTCTTTTTCTCTGCTGTGCGCCGATAGATTAGGTGTAGGATCTCCGACTGATGCCAAATCGGTCGGCTTGAAACAATCGGATGTCTAGCCACACTGATGCGTTGTGATACAGCAGAACAGGCTTGTATGTGGATGACTATATATATATATATATATATATATATATATATATATATATATATAATAGGATGAAAATATAGTTTAACGACAGTCTGCTTCATGTTTAAACACAATCTTCAGGCAATGTATGATTGACATCTATGAATGCTTATTTGATGCTTATTCCTCGAATCTTCTTGATGCAAAGTAGATACTTCCTTCATATTTACTCTGTAACTTAATATGGCACAAAATACTTTTCACCAGTTTCAAACATGAGATTATCTGCGTAGAAAATTAATATTAGACGCGAGACGCATGAAATTGTAATTATCTCAGTCATGAGGTAAGCGCCATGTCATCCATTGAAGAGAGACAATAGTGCACAAAGCCATAGATGTTCGCTCTCGCAGTAAAAATCGTAAATGTTAATTTCGGCCGATCTATACACCCGCCTTCCTAATGATGTCCGGAAATCTGCGATGATTCATTGTCCTTATTCCTTGATTTTTCTTTTTGAGCTGATCTTCATATCCTAGGGAAATTCTTATGTAGCTGGATTCTCATCTGTCTCGCTCAGTGACAAAAAATATTGTGGCTATCAACTGGAATATTTGACATGCAGATCCAGAATTATCTATAGCAGAAAACCTTATTATGCAACCGAGAAAGAACAAAGAACACATCGACAGATATAAATTCATTCTTTTTTAGCATTATACACACCAAGATGGAATCGACAACTATTCAATTGTATTTGATGTTTTGGTTTTTCTTTTTTGTATTTTTCTTCGTTTTAACCAGGTTTTATTTTCTCGCTTTTACCTAACCCTGTCCATAACAGATGATAAACAACCTATTCAGTTTCCTCTGTGGTTCATCGAATGCATTCTGAAAATCTTCGTCTTAGTGACAATTCTTAAACTGTAACGAGCATCAGTCTGATTCCAATCGAAGTCTTCAGAGGAAGTCGTTTTTACCCGAAACGACAGACCAATACTGAAATGAACAAATTATTTGCGAACCAGAGAAATTGTTGGCCCTTTATTATTAGTTTGAGTTCTAAATAATTTTCAATTTTCTTTTATCAACTTCAAAGTATAAAGAGCAATTATATTTTATTCAATCATATATTAAAAATTATTTGCAACGTCTTGTTGCTACTTAGGCTGGATTATGTGCAACGTCTTGTTGTTATTATGCAGCTCTTGGATGCATTTTGAGTAAAATACCGCAGGTTTCGATATGAACATTTTTCGACGATCTCTTGAACTTAGTTTTTATTAGAGAAACTTTTTCCCCACCAAAACATTTTGTGGCGATTAAAAAGTGTAATAATCGGCTAGTGTAACGTCAAGGGAATATGATAGCTGAGGAGAACAGACCAACCGAGTTCCAATTCCTTGTCCTGTGTTATTCTTTTTCCTCCAATCCACCGTGGATGCTACCATTGCCGTGTAAAAATAATGTATGATAGTGTACTCTTAATTTATTCTTAACTGACATGTATGATTAGTAAATACGGTGATATATTCGTCATTACAATTCGTTCCACAAAGCGGAAATGACTTTTGCATCAACCTAATAAAAGTTTGTAACGACCTAGAATTTGGAACCCTAAACTTAATCTAACTGATACTTACATATTAAAGTATATTTTACTACTTACCAAGAGTGGATAGAAGAGACATATGTGTGAAGCTCGCATTAGAATATGCTGAAAATATAGCGAATAAATATATTATCTGTCTATATTTCTGAGATGAGGTATTATGTACATTATTTACATTATTCAGACTATTGTCCTCATCTTTGTCGCCATATTTATTACAAGGTTTCGGCCTTCTTCAGAAATGAATACAGTATGGGAACCAGTAATAAGGAGTGCCAGAGAAAAGCGATAATAACAACAAAAGTTACAATATGAGCTCTGGTAAAAAATGTTGCTCAGATATTAGGTTTATAATACCCAGAAATTTATACACTCAAGAACACGTGGCACAGTGGATAAAGGTGTTGGTTAGATCTAGGACCCAAAGAGTGTGAGTTCAATACCCAGTCAAGGCAGTGGAGAAATTAACAAGAGATAACTGACATCCATTAATCATGGCACGTGGTGCGGAATAAAGGGTTCAGTTCGACATTCCAACCACCTGAAGAATGCTGAAACGTTGTATTAAATATGGCGGCATATAGTCCGAATAATGTTTGTCAAAATTAATAAAGATTCAATATATACATACATATATGTACATTATATATATATATATATATATATATATATATATATATACATATGTATGTGTGTGTGTGTGTGTTAGTGCGATAAAACTGAAATATTAAAATAAACTTTATAATAAAATTTGATGCGCAACAAGAAAAATGTATTACCGTAGAATGGTAATACCGAAATACAACAACAATAAACCAAAAAAAAAACAGATTTTATTGGTCGTCTCCCTATCCAAGTAAAGATCAAGGCTAAAAATATGCACAGTGAATAAAGCAATATGTAAACCCAAGACAAATGTTACATGACAGAAAATATAACACTTACAGGCTAATTACCCACTAACCATTCTTTCTACTAGTAGAGAGATGGCTGGTAGGACTTTAAACATATATAAATTTCTACAAAAAAAAAATAATGAAAATAATTATGTCCAAGGGATGCATGTCGTGTTGTGTCGATTCATTCAATTTCACTTTCACTGACGTCGGGGAGAGGATTCGTGCTTTTCTTAAGGTGGATTTACGTCGGCATGAGCTACTTTCACCAGAATTCGAACAGGATTTCTCAATCCAGTTTCTTGTGCCGATAAAGGTAAAGGCCTACTCACACTTTCTATTACAATACATATATATATATATATATATATATATATATATATATATATATATATATATATATATGTATGCATGTATATATATATGTACAAGTGTCTAGGTACTGTATGAATACATAGCTTATATTTACGTATGTAGGTATTTATTGCTTCTTGGTTGCGGTTCACTGAAACAGAACCCTGAGCAACGCACTGACCCCTCGAAATTTGATCCGAAAGATTGGCCATTTGAAGGTCACTTTCGTGCAAGTCAGATGATAGAGGTCATGGCCTCTCTTTGAAATGTATAAATGATGCGAGAAACACGTCTGAAATACACACACACACACACACACGTGTTTGTATATATAAGAAATTGATATATATATATATATATATATATATATATATATATATATATATAGAGAGAGAGAGAGAGAGAGAGAGAGAGAGAAAATCGTTTCCTTTTAAATCTCCCTATAAGTATTTTACATTCATGTAAGCACGCCAAGCGAATACACAGACAAGAAATATAGATATTACCCACCTATCTATCTATCTATCTATCTATCTATCTATCTATCTATCTATCTATCTATCTATCCCAGTCTGTTCATATCTATCTATCTATCTATCTATCTATCTATCTATCTATCTATCTATCCCAGTCTGTTCATATCTATCTATCTATCCCAATCTGTTCATATCTATCTATCTATCTATCTATCTATCTATCTATCTATCTATCTATCTATCTATCTATCTATCCCAGTCTGTTCATATCTATCTATCTATCTATCTATCTATCTATCTATCTATCTATCTATCTATCTATCCCAGTCTGTTCATATCTATCTATCTATCTATCTATCTATCTATCTATCTATCTATCTATCCCAGTCTGTTCATATCTATCTATCTATCTATCTATCTATCTATCTATCTATCTATCTATCCCAGTCTGTTCATATCTATCTATCTATCTATCTATCTATCTATCTATCTATCTATCTATCTATCCCAGTCTGTTCATATCTATCTATCTATCTATCTATCTATCTATCTATCTATCTATCTATCTATCTATCCCAGTCTGTTCATATCTATCTATCTATCTATCTATCTATCTATCTATCTATCTATCTATCTATCTATCCCAGTCTGTTCATATCTATCTATCTATCTATCTATCTATCTATCTATCTATCTATCTATCTATCTATCTATCCCAGTCTGTTCATATCTATCTATCTATCTATCTATCTATCTATCTATCCCAGTCTATTCATGTCTATCTGTCTGTTTGTTTCAGTCTGTTCATCGACCTATCAGAGCGAAAGAAATGTAAACATTCCCAACTCTAATTATTCTTGGATAGTTAAAAACTCATCATGAATGATGAATTGCATGAAAATGTTTAAAAACGAATCCCCTTAAATAACGTATTTTATTTTCAAACAAAAATTCCTCCAAAGCAAGATATTTCTCAACACTGGTTTTATGGCAAATGCCTAGAAAATAAGATAATCCAACAAAATCCGCTAATGTCGTGGGGTATTGCTATTGGTAATGACTATTCTCCCCCACACGAATCGATGCTCAATCCTGTATTATAATCTCGTGAAGTCTTTTCCCGAAATATATGAATATCCCTCAAAAATCTGGCACTTGAAACAGAGATTTTATATTCTTTCAAGACAAACAGATTTTATTCTTTTAAATAGGAAGATTTTTATTATTTTCCTGTTCAGTATTTGATCACCTAAAGTCTTTTCATTCTGTATGTCTATATTTCTGAGATGAGGTATTATGTACACTATTTACATTATTCAGACTATTGTCCTCATCTTTGTCGCCATATTTATTACAACGTTTCATTCTATTTCACTCCCAGTAGCCCATTTTGTGTTAATGGCATTATCGCCTTGGTTGGAGTGAATTGATAAAAAAAAAAAAAGATAGATAGATAGATAGATAGATTTAGATAGATAGATAGATTTTGTGTTAGATTAGATAGATAGATAGATAGATAGATAGATATGAACAGACTGACATAGATATGAATAAACTTGGATAGATAGATAGATAGATAGATAGATAGATAGATAGATAGATAGATAGATAGATAGATAGATCATTTGTCGCTTCTTTTCTTTCGATAAGGTCATGATAGTCTTCTAATTTTTTTTTTTTTTTTGGCTCAGACACCGCTTGTATACAGATATTTTCTTTGTTTTACTGTTATTGAATACTGTTGCTATAACTGTTGTGGTGCTCCTGCATTTAGAGATTCTTCACAAAATCTAAAGAAGAATCAGGCATCCCGACTGCAGTCACTTTCTTACCGACGAAACGTGGCTTCCCTTTGTCTTTTCTCCAAATATTTTCAGGGCAACTGCTTTGACGAGCTTTTTCCCCTTTATACCCTGATTGCATGAATATAAGCGTGCTACTAGGCATCTAGGACCCACCCGTTTACTGCTGAAATAGATAAATGTAACTGCCACTTCTACTCCAACAATTTCATTACTCACACTTCCCAACTGTTAAACTCTCTTCCTTTTACTTGCTCCCCTGATAACTACAATTTTCAAAAGTTTAAATGAAACTTCAATCGCCATCTTTTGTCATATTGAATCGCGTTCATCTTTTCTCCTTTCCTTGACCCTCCCTATTCCCAGTTTTCTCTTTCGCTTTCACTCCCTGTCAGGCAACATTCAAAGACCCGCCCACCCACTGTGTACTAGTATCATTTCCGCCTTGCCTGCGCTGAAATGTTTTTAAGAAATCTACATTTTTCATAGTTAAGTCTTACGTTGTGTCTGTGACTTGGAAACAAGTGGCAACAAGTCTCTCTAATATTCCGGTATCCATCTCTACGTTCTTCATGGTACCACTCTTTGGTCTCCTGGAATGTCTTCAGCCACGCTCTATCCGATATCGATGTTTTGTTTCCACTGAATAACCTGGATTAAGTGATCGATTTGCATTTCAAACTTCCATAAGAATGTAACTTTTCTTTTCTATAGGACTGTATTCGGTTTATGACACTCGCAGCTTCTTTCTCTCCTTCTTTAAATTATAATTCTTTTATACTAATGTTCAGACAATATATTGTCCAAGAGTCACTCAAGGTAGAGTTTTACTGAGTGGTGTTGTATGAGCGTAAAAAAAGGCAAAATGTCCGCTGGGTTATGCAGGAAATATTACGGTTAAACCTAGACTTGAATTGGTCAAGTAGTGATTGCGAAAGCATCCTCTTGGGAGTCTGTTCCACAAAGAAGCATTTCTTAACCGAGTAGGACTTACTTCTTACTAGTGGAATACGAAATGAATAGGGGATGATTCACCCTTGTGTACGTTGTATGGCAGGTCCCAGTTGTAAAAGTCTTGTACTGATGGGACTAAGGAATGCAGCGTCTGGACACATGCCATAGAATTAGTGATAGTGCATCAAGAGACGAGCAACGTTTCATCTGCGGGAAAGTGGTTGTAGTCGGGGGGGGGGAAATAATTCATCACCCATAAGTCCTCACTCTATCAAGACAGATAAGTGAGTTTTGGCCAGCTCCAGTCCAGATATGGCAGCAATACTCCTTTGTTTATTATTGAATTGAAAAGATGAAAAGCAGAGTTCGTAGTCGTGATGCTTATGCTGTTCTATTCGACATTCATTAATGTTTCTCTGCATTTATTTGTTCATTCATTTGTAGATGAATTAAACAGAGAAACGAGTGGGAAAATGTGAAGAACAGGGAAGGCCCGAGAAGGCCTCAAGCAGAGAAACGGGAGGCATTTTGCCATCAACTAGATCGTAATGTGTTTACTGTGCTCATCCCGACCCCAACCAGACGCTCATTCACCCAAACAGTCACCCCCCTCTACCGCCCGGCCTTGTTGATAGAGAGATAAAACAGTCCTACGCATTAAAAGACTCTATCCGTGATTTTCACACATTCTGTCTCATTTACACTCAGCTGATGAAGAAAAGAGATAGGGTTGGTCACACACATTTCAGAAAGGAAGAAAGAAATTCATTTTCAATGAAAGAATAAAATTGCGAATGTTTAAAGAAAGACAGAAATGAAAGTAAAAGAGAATCGAAAAAGAAAGATGATAACGAAAGAATCAAAGACAGAATGAAAAAAAAGAAAGAGAGAAAGAAAGAGAGAGAGAAAGGTTGAAAGAAAGAGAGAAAGAAAGGATGAAAGAAAGAATGAAAGAAAGAATGAAAGAAAGAGAGAAAGAAAGGATGAAAGAAAGAATGAAAGAAAGAATGAAAGAAAGAGAGAAAGAAAGGATGAAAGAAAGAATGAAAGAAAGAATGAAAGAAAGAGAGAAAGAAAGAATGAAAGAGAGAAATAAATGAATAAGAAATGGATAAAAAGAAACAGAGAATTCGTAAAAACTGATTGAATAAAATGGGGAAAATAATTTAATAAAAATTAAATTAGAAACATAAAAATACAGACAGATAGATAGATTGATAGACATGAAAAAAATTTATTTTGTAAATCCCAGTGGAAAAAAAGGAATAAAAAAAGAAAGAGCTACGAACATGTAATTCAGACGAAAACAATCGACTAGAATCCAAGCCCAGGGCCCAAAGAAAAAAAACTCCGACACGAGTAAAATAAAAATAACTAAGCAAAGTGCTCAATACGCTAAGCAGAGCAAATCTTATTATTATTATTTTTTTTTTTTTTTTTGATCACATGGTCATGTTTTTATGTTGCAGGCTATTTATATTCTGTTCTAATGTTACCTCTTTGGCCAGCGTACCCTGACGATCCGCGTAGGTGAAAGATTTGCCTGCCTCTTTTGGTTCATAGTTATATATATATATACATATATATATGAAGAAATATAATTTTAAGGTGTGGTATATTTATGGGATAAAGTGCTCAATATCAGAGAGAGAGAGAGAGCGTTTGTAAAGATAAATATAAAGTGAACAATCAAGTCAACACTCAGAGGCGACAGGCTGTTTCATGCGATTGCGTCCAGTATGAAACAGCCAGTCGCCTCTGAGTGTTGACTTCAATGTCCACTTATATATATATATATATATATATATATATATATATATATATATATATATATATATATACAAACACACCACGAGTTGGCCCAAGCCATGTGAGTGAAATTGGGTAGACGAAACATATTAGGGGCCGTCGATAGCTGTGCTAGCATAAAGTCACAAGTCATCGTGGCCAAGGGCTTGAGCTCTCTCCGAGAAACTGTAACTAAGATCTGCTCAGCATAGTTGTAGTATAAACCACATGTGGGCTCTGTGGGGTGTTGAATAAACACAAATGTGCCAGACCGAGTGTCTGCAATAGGGATTGGCAAGCCGCTCTAGTAGACAGGTATCCTCGAATATGAGTGGCCAATTATTATTATATTATGTATATGTGTATATATATAGATAGATAGATATAAAGAAAATTATATATATATATGTATGTGTGTATATATATATATATATAGAGAGAGAGAGAGAGAGGGGGAGGGAGGAGAGAGAGAGAGAAAGATATAAAAATAAAATTATATATATATATATATATATATATATATATAGGTACCCACCAAAAGGAACCTAAGGTTTTTGCACACACACACACACACACACACACACACATATATATATATATATATATATATATATATATATATATATATATATATATATATATATATATATATATATATTATTCCTTAAAAAAATATGATTCCTTCGCTACATATGAGTTCTCATATTTCAAAAAACAAGAGCCAATAACCTCAATATAATTATTGAAATTAAATTGAATTTAAGTATCACATTTATGTAGCGAAGGAAACTTATATATATAATTTGTAGGTCTGATGATTTGGATCGTGATTACGATTCCAATGTAATAAACTAGTGTTTGCGCCTTTTATATCACACACACACACACACAAACACACACACACACATACATATACATATATATATATATATATATATATATATATATATATATATGAATAGAAAAGAGAAAGAAAGATATATACATAAGTCAATGAATTCTTTTAAGTGATGGTGCGCACAAATGTATTGCGTCTGATGATCCGAGGTAAAAAGGTTACAGAGGTCAGGTAACAAAAATAGTTTTTTTGGGTGGGTAGGGGTATAAAGTCAACATAAAAAATATCAAAAATACAAAAACATTTCAACGCGGTAATTTTTTTTTTTTATCAAATTGGTGTTGGAGTTTTACTAATCGGAAACTAATATCCTTTTCACGAAAATCCGTCCGTCGGTGTTAATAGAGGCGTCGTCGGTCAGAGATTGAAACAGATCAGATCACACTAACTTCCCGTTTGGTCTGCATTAAATTCAATGCCTTTTCAATTTATCCCATCTGTGTTAAGTTCTCTTTAATTAACACTTTCTTCTTTCTTAAAGTAATCAAAGTTTGAATTTGATTCTATATTCTGTATTCGACCTTCCCTTGGACAACCATACTCCAGCGAAGTGGAAGAGCTCTTCCGGTAAAAGAGGCTGCCATCTGTACAATACTGATCCTATCGCTTTCTAAATGAATTACACTGCTGGTTGCGTCTCTTTGTCCGATTTATCATCATCATCATCATCATGTCCGATGACCGGTTGCGGTCGTAGGGTCGCGGCGCAGCTGTGCATCTTGACAGTTCCCTCTACATATCTAGATTTAAGATTCATTCATACGTAGCATTTCTTGGCCCAGTAGACCTGGCGGTATCCATCCCTCTCCAGGTCAAACCTTAGTTAATGACTTCCAACTTGAAGGCTCGCCTTGGTCACGGACACGTGGCTACTGTTTCCATCGGAGTAACCCTATCCATTGACTTCACTCTAGGAAACGTCCCACACACGCACACGGCACAGAGATGACGCGTCATCACCGTGCTGTCTGCATACACAACTATATCACATGGCACAGTGGATAAAGACGTTGGTTAGATCCAGTGACAGGACCCAAAGAGTGTGAGTTCAATACCCGGTTAAGGCAGTGGAGAAATTTCAGAGGGAAATTAACAGCTGACAACTGACATCCATTAAATATGGCACGTGGAACTAGAACAGTCTACCCCAATGAACGAAATAAAGGATTCAGTTCGACATTCCAACCACCTGAAGATGGCCGGAGCGTACAACGGCCGAAACGTTGAATAAATATGGCGACAAAGAGGAGGACAATAGTCCGAATAATGTAAATAAGGCTATCAAGTTAGTAGCTAAGATTGATTGATTCCTTTTCTAAAGTTTATCAACCATTTGCAGGTTATTTAAAGCTTGAAAATATTTTTAGATTTTAACATTTTCGGTGGGGGGGATAATAATGATAGAAGTCTTAATAATTAATCTATAACTGGGGGAGAAGCTGTGGATTCATGCCTTTCCCAATGTAAATAAGTGAATATAACAAACCCAACTGCAATCGGAACTCGGCTCTCCGATTAACAATTCTGTGTCATTAACTATTACACCATCCGCACATCCACGCTTACAGCACTTGCTATTCCAAAGCGGTCACCCATCTAGGTACGGACCAGGCTCGACGTTGCTTAAACTCGGCGACTATACGAGAACCGGTGTTTCAACGAGATTCGACTGTAAGCCTAGTGGCTAAAAGTTGAATTTTCTCACTGTCATCATTTAGTCGGTGTGCGAGTCCAAATTTTTAAAAGTGACAAGTTCATAGACAGATTTGTGCATGATTGTGCGCATGCGTGTTGGCTCTGTGTGTGTGTGTGTGTGTGTGTGTGTGTGTGTGTGTGTGTGTGCGCGCGCGTGTGTAAAGGCGTGATTACCAACCCCACCCTGGTACAATGCTAGCCCAAAATGTTGGCCGGTGTGTCTGTTAGAAGAGCAAGAATTCAACATTTTCACCAACTGATGTGATTTCCGTTGCTGTCATGAAGTCTTTCTCGAAGATACCCGAAGTGTCAGGAATGACGGCTACGATTTACCGCGGGGTTCAAAATAAATTGGCTGCGGACGGGACTGACATGTCTTATGGACAAGCAATTGGGGGTGCCATCCAGTGCACACAGACACATGCACCTTTATACTTTAGTGGTGGACGGATCACAGCATGGCGAACCGGTAGGTGGCGGTTGTTATTGCGTGGGTGCTTTTGAAGAAATGTATGCACACAAGAAAACAATTGCGCATACGTCCACACACACACACACACACACACACACACACTAACACACTAACACGTTTAAAGTGATGGGCCCAGATGCAAAAATTTCGAATAAACGCTGATAAGTATTAGTCATTTCCATCAATGAAGAAAAAAATACCCTGATATGAGCTTTTCCACCAAGTACCGTGCATATATAATATATAAATAATACAGATAATAAATTAATAAAATCAAAGTTAATGTTAAATTTAGTTAATATCTAAGACTTGTGTAAAAATATTCTAAAATATTGCTCAATAATAAACTTTCCTTAATCAAAATATTTGCAATATTTAGCAATATTTCATATATATTGTTATATATTACATTATTTTTATATTACGCAATATATAATTTGAATAGTAGTTAGTAGATGAAAATATTTGATTAGATATGTGAACGTTTAAACGGGATATGACTACAAGCGGTTGGTCAATATATTGAATTTAGTGTTAGGTCAACATTTCTTCCTCATTCCTTATTAATATACCTCGCGTTTAGCCGGTCATGTCTCGCTTAACTGCCAAGAAATTTTGTATTTTTGATGTGGCTGTGACTTAGACGACCGAAAAGTGCTTCTCTGACACGTGGATAAAAAACGGACTCTTGCAACCTGACGTGCAGTACTTTTTAGTCAAGAGAGACTTTTGTATCATTAGCTAGCTTTACTTTTCAGGGTTGGAGAGATGCCATGTAGCATATTTTTACACTTTGATAGTATATTCTTATTCTACAAAATAAAACTTCAGATTTCCACCTAGCTGTTTTTATTTTTAATGTTTATGTATAAATCTGTATCTACTACCGCAGAAACTGTTAAAGCCGTATATATATATATATATATATATATATATATATATATATATATATAATCACTACAAAAATATATAAAATTACTACAAAATAGCCATTTTGTTTCAACACCTCTGGTGTGTTATCAAGTGATGGTGTTGACTGTCAACACTTGATAACACACCACATTTATGTTATAATTTTCAAATGAATTATATTTCCTCTACTCTGTATTAAGCACTGTTTTAAAAATAGTATTTTTTGATCATTGGAATTTATTCCGTATACACAAAACCTGTACTTCTATATATATATATATATATATATATATATATATATATATATATATAGATGCATGTTTCATTAAATAATATAGACAAGTTTCGGTAAGTTCCTTTCATATTGTCTGATA